GAGAGAGAGAGAGAGAGAGAGAGAGAGAGAGAGTGGGGGAGAAAGACAGCGAGAAGTATTACAAGTGAAAGGTTTGTGCTGTAGCTGACTGAGGTAAACTTAAGCATTCCGACTCCAGAGTTTCGTAGACGGACCCGTCCGTCCACTTCTCAAGGAGTATCAGCAATTGACTGGTTATACTTCACGATTTTTTTCATAGCTTACGTTTGCGTCTGTGCAAATATATATATATATAAGTTATAAATTATCAGAGAACAAATATCGTAACTCATAGATATACTGATGAGTGGGTAGCATAACAGTTATCAGAGCCGAATATCGACTTGGCGCTCGAGACTTTCATTCACTTCGAAGTTATGTACAATCCAAGATAGATAGATAGATAGACAGATAGATAATATACAAAGCTAGTTAAATAGATAGATAATGTTGAAACCGAGATAGATAGATAGATAGATAGATAGATAGATAGATAGATAGATAGATAGATAATATACAAAGCTAGTTAAATAGATAGATAATATTGAAACCGAGATAGATAGATAGATAGATAGATAGATAGATAGATAGATAATATTATTATACTTTATATTTAGTGGATTCCAATATTTAAGTAAACTCTCCGTTTATTTATTAAACATTATATTTATTTATTTTCCTCTACCGTCCTGAATATTCGAGAAATTTTATTAAGGGAAATAGCGCATAAAACGGAGTCTCTACTCAAATATGGATATCCATATAGTATTTAAGTAATACAATCTGTCGGATTAATAAATAAAAATTCATCACTTCCTTAGAAATTAGATAGATAGATAGATAGATAGATAGAAAAAATTTTATTTAAATAAAGTGACGATAGATAGATAGAAAGAATTTGATTTAAATAAAGTGTCGATAGATAGATAGATAGATAGATATTGAACAAATCTATAGAGAGAGTTATAGATAAATAGATTTACTTTTCGGAATATAAATGTTTTCCTTTCTATGTTTTCTTTCTGTTTTCCGACTTGACCGTTTTATGTTTTCCATTTTGCTTTACTTTCTTCCTTCTTCATATTCGTAAAGGTTTCTAACCTACTTTCACTTTCTCTTTCAAAATCATCTCCTTTTTCCTCTTTCCATTATGTATCACTCCCTAAATTTTCCTGAAGCAGCGTGCACACAAAGACACGCATTTTCTAGGTCGAACGCGTTATCCTCTTCAATGAATGATGTAGTAATTACAGAGCCGGTGATCAGGCGGAAGTTGAATGACATACAACAGGCTCTCTTAGCTGCCTTTGGCCTAATTATGGACTTGACGGAGAGGTCATTCGGTTTTTGATGCTGCCCAGGGAAAGAGAAATTCAACAAAGATACAGTTTCTTATGTCAGTAATCTCGTTCGGATGCCAGTTTTCCCGGGAATGTACACATTCCTTATAAGTATATTTCATAGCATGCACTCAAGCAACTGTCATCGTTTTTTGATCGTAGCTGTATAATGGAAGAAAGGCTTGTTATCTTTGCTTTTTGCAAAATGGACATTCTTCAGCAGCCAATCAAAATGATACGCTTTTTTAATTTTTGTTCTTTCTATTCGTAGAAAGGCGTATATTTTGCAACCCAACCCAAGACAAAGAAATACAAAGTAATGGCGAATAGCACAAGCAGCACATATGACAACGACAGCAGGGACAGCGATCCATTAAGGGATGTGTCCAACTTCAAATACTTGGGAGCAACCCTGTCAAAAGATGGAACCTGCAACGCGGAAATCCGCATACGGATCGCCACAGCCACAGCGGCGATAGCCGAACTGGAAAGGATGTGGGAAAGCAAGTTCCAGCTCTACAAATCGCTGGTTCTATCCATCTTCCTCTACAGTTGTGAGAGTTGTATGCTCCTGGTTTAGTCAGGAAAAAAGGATCCAGGCGTCCGAGAAGAAATGATTGAGAGATCTAGACATCTCCTATTAGCAGAACAAAGTCAATGACTATTTACGGAGCCAGGTCAAAAGTCTCGTGGGCCAACAGGAATCTCTCCTCGCCATTATAAAGCGTCAGATGTCATAGCTTAGTCACGTCACACGGAATAAGTGCCTCAGGCAAAGCACAGTTGAAGCTGGATGCAACCGGGGACGGTAATGCAAAAGCTGCTCAGACATGATCAAAGAGTGGGCGGACATGACAATACCGGAACTCCTGAGAGCCACCGCCAACAGATCATCCTGGAGGTGGTTGGCTTTTCTGCGCTTAGATCCCCCAGAATTGCCCCAGTGAAGGGACTGATAATGATATATATGTGTCGAAATCTTTCTGCCCAGCGCTTTTCAGCGCATTTGTTTTAGAAATCATTGCTCGGCATTTGGTTATGGGTTTATTTATCCACATTGCTCGGCACTTGGTTAAGGATTTATTTATCCACAAATATATGTCCAGTTTTTTTTTGTTTCTTTCTTTCGGGCTTTCTCATTTCTTTTTTACGCCTTGTCATCGCCGGTTATTTTTGAATTTGTTGATATTTCATTAAGAAGGAACGCTTATCGCCACGTAAAGTTGAATGAGCATGTGTAGTTCTAATTCCAGCCAAACACATTTTGTTCGCTTTCACACAAGAATAGATCTGTTTTTTTATCCACCTAGATAAAGCTTACTGGAAGTGTGTACTGGCTTGGGTTGGCAATCGATTTAGCAGAACAACGACTGTGAAGCCAAAACTGGTTGAAAGTGGGGATAACCACATCAGCCCGGAAAGCCTGCATGCGAATGAAACCATGACCCTATATTCTATAGATGTTTTTTTTAAATCATTTAAGCCGAAGCAAGAAAACAAAGTCACTAAGACGCAAGAGGTTAATGTATGTGAAAGAATACCAGAAAAAGGAAAAATCATTATTAAGAAACAAGAGAAATCAAAGAATAGAAATTAAAAAGATAACGATTGACATTGCAATTAAAGTTTTGAAGACTAACTTTGAATGGGAAGCAAGAAGCTGGAAGAGAGTTGAACAAACGAGACAAGAAACTGATAAAATAGAACTGACGTTTACATCTAGCCATTTCAACCATAAAAGAATGATATATTGTCTCTAATCTAGTACTGTGTTTAAATTCATAGCGTCTACGTACCATAGAGGAAAATCCATCAGAAGAAGAATTTATAGTAAAGCCAGAGGGAAGCGACATTACGTCCGTGGGAAAGTGACTGAAGACAAGATGCTAGGTCAGGACCGTTGAAATTGAAGATCCTTCTTTGGATTTTATCAAGAATCTCTAAATATATAACCGGAGCACCAGATCATATGTGGTAGCGATATTCTAAGCATGGCCGAATGGCAGACTAAGAAATATGAAAGATAGACTATGAGAGAAAAATTGTCTAGCACGATACAAAGAACCAACGTTCCTCGGTTCAAACCTAGCAAGTGATTCATTATAATATTTACTCTTTCTGCCAGCAGAAAACGTTAGCCCGAGAATATGCAACAAGTAACTCTCCTGGAGTTTAGCATCAACCATGCCGATGGAAGACCGAAAGGGTTCTCTCAGACATTTAACAGAAAGCAGTTTTGTTTTGGAGAAGTTAACTACAGAATGTAAGATATGTTTTTTAGATCAACTGCCTATCTAAATTTATTGAACAGACCAAACTGACTATTAAGACAGGAGGAAATAGTTGTGTTATCAGCATAGATGCCGAGTTGAGAACATATGCTACCAGGAAGGTCGTTGAAGAAATTTAGGAATAACGTAAGTTTAAGGATAGAGCCCTAGCGGACGCCTGAATTAATGCAAAATGATCTAGAAGACTGTCCGTTAAAGACAATTTCGTTTCCGGATTCAGTACGAAATACCGAGAAACTTTGTCCAGAAATACCATTTCATCTTGGGAATTATCTAATCATTTAGCAATAATCGTTAACACATCAGTAGTTGACCTTAGAGAAGCGCGAACCTTTTTGCTTTATCTGAAAGCAAACCCTGCTAGATGAGATGTGTATTAGATTCTCTCGTACTCTGCGGAAAAGATATAGAATAGAAGGCTAATAGGCTGATAGTTAGAAGTATCCGGCCGTTCGCCTGAGTTCTTAATGACTGGAACTATTGAAGAGAATTTCCAACAAGAAGGAATTTACAGGGTTAGTATTTAAGGTCATATTTTTTTCTGATTCTAGCTATCTCAGTTTGATTATATACACCCCCACCACATGACAGTGAACGTTTGGTTTGGTTTGTTTTACGGTATATCAACCTGAATGGGTTATTTAATGCCGAAAAATTTTATTGTTGGTAATATTTTTTTCAAATATGTATTACTAGTAATATTTTTTCCTTCAAAAAATCTCTATCTGGTAATATTTTTTTCGATCACTAAAAGAGATAAGAAAACAAAAATAGGACAGTGTGGAGAAAAAATAAAGATAGGAAATTGTGGAGAACCATGTTCAAAGATGTTCTGAAGTGATACGGGGAACATGCAAGGAGTCCAGAAAGTATAATATTTGTACTCATACAAAGGACACACAATAAAAAAACTAAAGCAAAAATAAATTGTCTTGTTCACAATATCTATCTACCTATCTATCTATCTCAGTATATATATATATATATATATATATATATATATATATATATATATATATATATATATATATATATATATATATATATTCTTCAATTTGTGTAGAGTTATCATTATTATAATGATTTGTATTTCCGTGATTTGCTTCAGTTTTCTGCAATGCATTTCGGTATTGACACTTTTATTTACCTGTAATTTTAGGTTCAAGCGCTATTAACACCTGAGAAAAAAGTGTCTGATTGAAATAAGTTTCTCAAAGTATATCAGCGGAATGGGAAGGAGTTAACTGTGTGAAAGTTCTAGCACTGAAACTTTATGAATTATAAGTATTGTCTGTGTATACTACAACTCACTGAAGACAGGTTGTTAATTTTCTAATCAATATTCATAAGTGAACAAATGGTTTTACATGATTAAAGTCTTTAAACAGAGTTAAATAGATATGAGTAGATTAAGAAAGGAAGATAATAATAAGTAGAGAAAGAAAGAAATATTCATGTAAAAACAAATAGAAAAATAAAAATTAAGAAAAAAAGAAAGAAAGGATTTAGGTAAAGACAAAATAGACGAAACTGAAAGAAAAAAAAGGCGGAAAGAAAGAGAAAAAGAAAAAAAGAATGAAAGAAAGAATGAATGAAAAACAATTGAAGGATATAAAATACTGGAGTAAGAATTAGATAGAAGAAGAAAAGAATCAAAGAAAGATTTTAAATTGAGACATAAAAAATGGAACGAAAGAAAGATTTAAATAAAGACAACATTGAGGAAACTGAAAGAAAGGAAGAAAGGATGATAGAAAGAAAGAAAGAAAGGAAGGAAGGAGAAAGGATGAAAGAAAGAAAAAGAAAGATATAGGTAAAGACAAAATAGAAGGATAAATATTAGACAAAAAGAAAGGCATAGGGAAAAACAAAATAAAATAAAAATTAAACAAAAAGAAAGAAAGAAATAAAGAAAGAAAAAAAGAAAGAAATATGTAAAGTAAAAATAGATGAACATTTCTTAGCCAAAAAGAAATAAAGATAGTAAGAAAGAAAGAAATAGAAAGGTAAAGACAAAAGAGAAGAAGAAAAATTAAACAAAAAGAAAAAAAAATGAAGGAAAGAAAAAAGCAGAAAAAAAAAGATTTAGGTAAAGACGAAAATGCAAACTGAAAAAGAAAGAAAGAAAGAAAGAAAGAAAGAAAGAAAGAAAGAAAAAGAAACAAACATAATTTAAAGTTATAAATTATGGAATGCAAATTAAATAAAAGAATAAAGGAAATAAAGAAAGACATTAAATAGAAAGAAAGAAGAAATTTATTTGAAGACAATTTCAGGCTTATATTTTTTTTTGTTATTTCCCATAGATAGATACGAACAGATATAGAGATTGATAAGCTAATTATTAACAAGAGAAGAAAACCTCCAAAAGGCATACATTAATATGTGCAGATTAATTTTGTATAAGATGGATAAACGAAAAGTTGACGAATCGAAAGTTTCATAAATGAGGAAAATGAGAAATTTATAGAAGCCATATGTTAAAATTTTATAATCAGTATTAATACGGACAGACATTTGTGTAGAATAGGTTCCAAAAGAACAAGATAGATAGATAGATAGATAGATAGATAGATAGATAGATATGAACTGTCATAGACAGATATGAACAAACTGAGATAGATAGATAGCTAGCTAGGTAGCTAGCTAGCTAGCTAGATAGATAGATATATAGATAGATAGATATGATCAAACTGAGATAGATAGATAGATAGATAGATAGATAGATAGATAGATAGATAGATAGATAGATAGTATCTAAGATAAGAAAAACTGGGGTAACTAGCTAGATAGCGAGATAGTTAGATACATACATAGATAAATAGATGCATATGAATAAGCTGATTTATCTATTAAAATAGATAGATAGATAGATAGATAGATAGATAGATAGATAGATAGATAGATGCAAACTGTCATAGACAGATATAAACAAACTGAGATAGATAAATAAATACATAGATATGAACAAACTAAGATAGATAGATAGATAGATAAATAGATAGATAGATAGATAAGAACAAACTGGGATAGCTAGCTAGATAGCTATTTAGATAGATTCATACATAGATAAATAGATGGATATGAACAAGCTGATAGATAGATAGATAGATAGATAGATAGATAGATAGATAGATAGATAGATAGAAGCCGATCCTAGAAATATATCGGTAGGATTGATAAGAATGGCCGAAACTCATGAAATGTTCAACGTATTCTACACATTCCCCTTTTTAAATTAATCAGGCGAATAGTTTCTCAAGATTTATTAGCATTTCGACATTAATAAAAAGAAAGTTTTTTGATGTTTGTACATTGATATATATATATATATATATATATATATATATATATATATATATATATATATATATATATATATAGGACACTTCAACCTGTTCTAATGGTTAACAGATTTGCCTCGCTAGAGTAATTGTAATTGTGAATGAGTAGTGAGATCAATCTTCATTGGGTGCTTCTTACATTTGGTCATGTACCATATCTAACTATGCATAGTAAATCATTATATATATATATATATATATATATATATATATATATATATATGTGTGTGTGTGTGTGTGTGTGTGTGTGTGTGTGTGTGTGTGTGTGTGTGTGGAGGACAAAAAAACAATCCTTGATAGACAGATAGATACAAACATATATAGAACTACTCAGAGATAGATAATGAAATAGCAGAAACGATCTGATAATACATAGACAGAAAGATAGATGCATAAATACATAGAAAAATGAACAATGCGTGATACATGGCTAGCTAAATAGATAGACAGAAACAACCAGAAAGAAAAAGTTAATGAAATAGATAGAAACGATCCTCTAATATATATATTGGGAGGTTGGAAAGAAAGAAAGAAAGAAAGAAAGAAAGAAAGAAAGAAAGAAAGAAAGAAAGAAAGGAAGAGATTGCGAAAAAAAGAAACTATCCTTGATATACACATGCATGCATAGAAAACAGAGAAAAATCCGGGATAGATAGATAGATAGATAGATAGATAGATAGATAGATAGATAGATATGAATTACTTGAGATCGTGATTTGGGATAAACAGAAAAATAAAATCTAAGATAGATAAATAGACATAAATAGATTAAATAGACAGCCAAATAGATATGGAGGGATGCGGTCTGTTATATAGATAAAATTCAGCAAATATAAGCCATCTTGTACAGGCAGACATGATTCCTTATATGAAAAATATACTCTTGAAATCGGATTAAAAGCTACATAAAAAAAAAAAAAAAGGATTCGCTTTTGTTGTGCAAAAGTGATAATCGGTTTAGTGTTGGCTGGATCCTGAGATAAATATTGACAACACATTTATTATTATTATTATTATTATTATTATTATTATTATTGTTGTTGTTGTTGTTGTTGTTGTTGCTGATGATAATGATGTTTTTGCTTGTACTTTTTGATTTGTCACACACTCATACCGAGCGACATTAATTGGAGATCAAGTGACATCAATCCATTTTATTTCTTCATCACGTTATCAAGCTAATTGGTATTAATGTTCTCGATTTTATGGTTTTAATTTCTCCTAATAGATGCAATCTATTAAAAAAGCTTTTCGGAACATTTCCAAGCACAAATATAATATACATTCTAACTTTGATCCCTTAAAACCTCCTTAAAGCATTATGTACGAGGGTCATTCAATAAATAAGGTGAGTTTTTCGGTATAAGGACTTCTAATACAGATAGAAGCTTACTTTTTTTTATTTTTCAACGTAGTCTCCCAGCACTGTCACACACTTTTCCCATCTGTGCACAAGCTTCCGTATTCCCTTAGCGTAAAAATCTTTGGACTAATATCTCAGCCAGTCGCTCACAACACTTTTAACTTCATCGTCACTTTTAAACTTCATGCCTCTCGTGAACGCTTTCAAGGGACCAAACAGGTGAAAGTCTGAAGGGGCAAGGTCTGGGCTGTAAGGGGGATAAGGGAGCAGTTCCCAGCCCAGCTCGTTGATGGTCTGCACCGTTTGGGCTGCTGTGTGAGGCCTTGCTTTGTCATGATGCAAGATGACACCTTCTGACTGATGACCCCTGCGTTTGTTCTTTATGTCTTTCTTGACCTGCCTCAGCAGTTCACAGTAGTTCTTCTGTCAGACTGAATGAGGTCATTGACTGATTCGATCACTTCAGGAGACCTCACTTCTGTAGGTCTCCCAGGCCTGTCTTCATCCTCAACACTACTGCGTCCTTCTTTAAACAATTTAGCCCAATAAACATTGTTTTGGCTGAAACATGTGGCACCATACACAGTTAACATTCTCCTATGAATGTCAACTGGTTTGCAACCTTCAGCAACCAAACACTTGATAACTGACCGCTGTTCAATCCTGGAGCATGCTTCTTGGTCGGCCATCTTTGTTAATCGCCAAAACTCTCAAAGTTTTTTTTTAATATGCAAAAGAAATTAAATCCATGTGAAAAAGAAGTAAAACAAAAAAGTAAAAAAAGAAAAGTAAGCCTCTGTCTGTATTAGAAGTCCTTATACCGAAAAATTCACCTTTTTATTGAATGACTCTCGTATATTAGTCACTATTTTACTATGTACCTGCCATCTTAAATATATGCGAACGGTGAATTCTTCTAGCCCTCTTTCGCTATTATGTCCCAGATATTTCAACTGACTCCTGAATCTAAGTACAAGTGCCTCTGTTGGTTCTATTAAATGTTCCTCGTGATTCGCCGTATTCTTCTGTAGTGTCGGTGGTGTCAAACGTTGTCTTCATCTGGTAAGAAATTGACCATCTTTGCATGTTTTTAGATAATTTTTAAGGCAATTTCTAGTTATTATGCTAGTTATTTGCTATCTCTGAATTTCAATATCTTGGTTACTGGTGAGTATATATATATATATATATATATATATATATATATATATATATATATATATATATACAGTGCTGTTCGATAAAAGTGACTCACCTGATTTTTTTTACTAAATATTCTCTTCTCCGATGAAACGAAAGTTGAGCTAAATTTAAAGGATAAGCGATCTAAAAATATGAAGAAGAAGCTTTGAAAGCTCTTTGAATTTAGCAGTAAGTATTGTCAAGAATCCGTTCAGTATAATGTTCTGGGTAAGCTTTTCTTTTCATGGAACTGGTTTCTTAAAACCTACTGAAAAGACCCCCAGGAGCGAGCAGTACAAGAGAATTTTAGAGTCTTGTCTGCTCCCTTCTGCAGAAAGGGTGCAAATCGACCCCCACCAAACTTATTTTTATGCAGGATAATGCTCCCTGTCACAAATCAAAATTGATGAAGGAATACTTTGATGAGAAGCAGGTGAGTGTTATGACATGGCCGCCACAATCTCCTGACCTCAACCCCATAGAAAACTTATGGAGCATTATAAAGTACAGGCGCTCGAGAAAGCAGTTGAGCAACATGCTCCATAAGTTTTCTACGTGGAGAGGAGATTGGGGCGCCCATGTCAGGAGATATTTTAAACTATCTACTGTAAACATTTTCATAATTAATTCTACTAAAGGTTAGTTTTTTTAATAAGGTTATTAAGAAGCTTGCCCGTAAATATGAGTTGGTCTTACTGAAAATAAATTGCAAAACAAAATTATTCAATGAGACAAGCGTCCAAAATATACGCATTATCCTCATACTTACACTCTCTCTAAATTCTGTTTTTATTTCCGGAGTTGTTTTTTCTGTTTTCTTTTTGAATTTGTAGGTCTGATGAATTGGATCGTACTTACGATTCCAATGAAATAAATTATGACCATGGAATATTAGTGTTTAAGATTTTTTATTATATCCTTACTCTGTCCTGGACATTGAGTTCTACCTGGATTCTATCCTCTTGGAATTTTTATTCAAAAAATATACATGTATGTGTATGCACCTATGTATATATATTTATATATTTTGCATATGTATGTGTATATTTACCACTAATATTATCTATCTATCTATCTATCTATCTATCTATCTATCTATCTATTTATATATATATATATATATATATATATATATATATATATATATATATATATATATATATATATCAGGTCATCCCATAAGTTCTGTCCGAATTTAATTTTGAATAAAGAAAACAAGTGACCAAATGTTACAAATGTTAGTCCAATGGGCGTCGTTATAGATTTAGCTCTCGGACTAAGGCTCTTTGACTATCGTACCTACATATCCGTCGATATTTATGATGGGCACCAGCCAATGATATTCCCAGGATATAGGCTGTGCTTGTCAGATTTTTTTTTTTTTTATTTCCGGAAGAGATGTTGCACCAACGATTATGTTGATTTGATCTTGAGTTCCTTTCTTTTTCAGACCCAAAGCTCCAACCACAATAGAAACAGTTTCAGTTTTTAAGCGCCACATTTTGTTTCTATTGCCCAGGTCTTTTCTAGGTTTTTCTATTTGCTTTTTTTTTCAAAAAGCTTTACAGACATGTTTTTTGTCACTTGGTACGCTCATTATTAATTCTGCCTTGGATAATATCAGGACGATTTGCTTCTATTTTTCGATTTGATAGAAAGACCCAGATGATCGTAAGATATGCTTCCTCAACGACAGATTCAGGATGATGGTCATACCAGTTCGCAGCCGTTCCTATCCCGTAGTGATGACAGTTATTTCAATGTAGATATAGAATGAACCCTGTCATGACTGTCTTTTTTTTTTACTTGTCCTGAGATAAGGCGATCAATGATTTCAATGTATTGGTAACAGAACCAGCATTTTGGATTCCTAAAAAGAATACTGAGCTGTTACGTGACATGTGTCCTTCTTTACGGCAGCGTATGTTGGACGATTTCCTCGAAGATGAAGAAGAGACTCGGGGCGAAGGAGATGTGGCTCTACAGAAGGATGCTAAGGATATCATGGACAGATCGTGTGACCAACGATGAGGGCTTAGAGATGATGCAAACAAAGAGGCGGCTTATACTTAACATCAGGTAGAGGCAGACACATAATGAGGAAAGAAGGCCTGGAGAATCTGATATTCACGAGTTGAATAGAGGGAAAGAGAGAAAAAGGAAAAACCATCGTATGACATACCTAGCAGGCTTAAGCAAGTGGTTGACAGAATGTGGTCCGGGGGGAGGTGGCAGAGGGAAGGAACTTGTTGAGAGCTGCAAGGGATAGAGGAAGGTGGAGAGATCGCCTACGCCCTGAAAAGACATGGCA